GCGGACTGTAGCCCAATTCAATTCCGCGCAGAACAGAACCGTAACCGCAAGAAAACTCAGATGAAAAAGGGAGAGCACTGGCTAAAATTACCGACTGAGACCCACCAGTGTCTCGCAAAATGCGCGGCTGGATTACTGCGGCCAGCTCGCCCCTTTTGTTTGTTGTTTGGGTTGTCTCATTTTGTTATATTGCCGGCTGTTGCCTCGTTTAGTTCATTGAGACACCTTTTTTTTTGTTCGCAGTAAACCTTGAGTTAGATTTGGTACATTGTATTTAGTTAGGGCTCTTCAGTTTATTAGATTATTTTGTTTAACTCCTATTTATTTTTCACCTTAATTGCCTGTTTTTTTTGTCTTCCCTTACACTGTAAATAATAAATGCAAAATTTTTAGTTAAACCTTTCACATCCTGTTTTTTTTTGTTACTTCCCTTTCTCCCCTAGCAAAGGAGACGTAACACAGACCAAGAGACACTTTTGACTGCTCACTGGGGTCTCCCTCACATGATGTGTCCGGTCAGCTGATTTATCCAGGTTTTGGCGCTGTCAGTCTTCCTCACAAAGACGAGGTTAAGATCTGGAGATGGGTCCACAGTTTCTGACATTGAAGGATGGGTCACATGCAAATTTCCCTGCAGGGACAAAAAAAATGCAGCTTAACTTCACCTAAAGCAGGACTAATCGAGGCTCAAACCAGAACTAAACCAGAATCTGAACATGTTTTATATAATGAACAAAAGACCACGACCTAGAAACGATACTGCACTAAATACTGTACACTGGTCTCCATGGCGACAGACCGGACATGTTATTTGGGTTTTCAAAATCACAAACATTTTCCAATCCCTCACTAATCTGCCCGTGATTGTTGAGAACATTCCAGCACTCAGTCATACGGCCTCTTAAGTAATGCCAACTGTACTTTAAAAAACGTTCCTCCAAAAACATTCTTTGAGCCAGACTTTTACTGCAGCGGAGTGCACAGGAAGTCCTGGCTGCCCATGGAGCTGACTTCCTTTCCATTTTTTGAGGGAAATGATTGAACGCTGAGGTGGTCTGATAATGCGGAGACCATTGTGTTCGCATCAGATAAGGTGGAAGCGCTAGTGACAGGAGCGCACCAGGGGAAAGTACGCGGCAGGTGCATGTGCGCTACTGTGGGAATCAGGAAGCACTACTTCGGTTTTCATACACAATACTGTTGCTATGAGGGTGTCCTGAAATCACAGACTGTAAATGGACTGAGCTAACCCGCTAGACGTAGCGTTACTAATAGGAAGTGAGCGTGGGGGCGCTTCTGGCTCCATCCACTCTGGTTCCAATTCACTTTGTATTGAAAAAACGTCAACCCTTTTTCTGTAAGTTCTGCACTGAGCTTCGTCATTTTGGTCTTGAAACGTTCGTATTAACCCGCTCTACATTCCTAAATCCGTGTATCATTCGTTCATTCGTCTTTCAATATAAAACCAAAAATAAGAAAATGAAAAAACAACAGATTTCTTCATTATTTGTCTCCAAAACCAAAATGAAAAACGGATAATGATTCATTTTTTTCAGTTTTTCCATTTTGTGTTTAAATGAAGAATGGAAAAAACAGATAACGACCGTTTCCCGTTTACGTGACTTCCGTGACTGTGATGCCGGACTGAACCAGGACTGATCCAGGTCCGGGACCAGAGCGGGACCAGAGCGGGACCAGAGCGGGACCAGAGCGAGACCAGAGCGGACTCCGAGCTTTGACTCCGAGCCTTCGCAGGGTCCGAACCTCAGCTTCGAGCTCTGGCCCTGTCGTGGGCTCTGAGCCTCCGGTCTGGTCCCAATCTGGTCCTGGTCTGGTCTCGGTCTCAGTCCTGGTCTGGTCCCGGTCTCAGTCTCGGTCTGGTCCCGGCCTGGTCTCGGTCTGGTCTCAGTCTCAGTCCTGCTCTGGTCCTGGTCTGGTCCTGGTCTGGTCTCAGTCTCAGTCCCGCTCTGGTCCTGGTCTGGTCCTGGTCTGGTCTCATTCTCGGTCTGGTCCCGGTCTCAGTCCTGATCAGTCTCGGTCTGGTCCGGGTCTGGTCTTGGTCTCAGTCTCGGTCTTGTCCCGGTCTGGTCTCGGTCTCAGTCCCGCTCTGGTCCCAGTCTGGTCCTGGTCTGGTCCCGGCCAGGTCCTGGTCTGGTCTCAGTCTCAGTCCCGCTCTGGTCCCGGTCTGGTCTCGGTCTCAGTCCCGCTCTGGTCCTAGTCTGGTCCCGGTCTGGTCCCGGCCTGGTCCCGGTCTGGTCTCGGTCTCAGTCCCGCTCTGGTCCTAGTCTGGTCCCGGTCTGGTCTCGGTCTCAGTCCCACTCTGGTCCTGGTCTGGTCCCGGTCTGGTCTCATTCTTGGTCTGGTCCCGGTCTCAGTTCTGATCAGTCCCGGTTTAGTCCCGGTCTGGTCTTGGTCTCAGTCCCGCTCTGGTCCCGACCTGGTCCTGGTCTGGTCTCGGTCTCAGTCCCACTCTGGTCCCAGTCTGGTCCCGGTCTGGTCT